AATCCTTCACTCACACTCGCACAGAGGGACTTCATTTTTCCACGCAGGATTCAATGGGCTTCACATGTTTCCGAGCATCCAACACGTGCACAAAGGGACAACATGGTGAGTGCGGAACATCCCGCAACCCCCCCTGCACACCTTGGAGCACTCACCCAAAGAACCCAGGCAATGCTTCTGAAACCAGCTGCGCGCTTACCTGAACCTCTGGCACACCTGGCATGCTCTCCCCTCGCGACGGAGCATCGGAAGGATTCGAAATGGACGGCACCCTGTCCAACCAGCAAGTGTTCTCCAGCTCCTCCTCACACTGGCAAAAGAAATCAATGAGGCGGGAACACACATCATTACCACTATGGCCCCGGATGAAGCTTCCTAGGACCCCATCATTGTCAGTGAATCTCACGGCTCCCCGCCGCTCCACAAACGTGCTGAACACCCTCAGGCTAAGGGAAAGAGCCAAAGCTTCGAGCTCAAAGATGACAGTCTCCCTGACGCGGTCGCGGTCTTTCAGCAAGCGGTCAAGAACGGCCCGATCAAGTTTATACCCGAACCACGCCAAGGCCTGGCCACCTGGCCCAAAAACTACTCCCCCTAAACCGCTATGACCCTCTGGCTCGAAGGATGCATCAACATAAATACGCACGAATGAATCCTTGCGGGCCCTGATCGGCCTAGGCTTGCCATGCCAAAGGAAACGCCGGAGCTGGCACAGGGCGTGTCTGGTGCTCTCACTCACCGCCCACTTGCGTTGCCTTCCGTGCGCAGCCATCATTTTCAGGGCCGCCTTCGGCCGCCGACCGAACACTTGGCAACTGGCGAACTGCAGCCTGCCCCTCAAACGCTCGCTGAGCTTTGGGTCCAAAGCATTTGCCTCAAGGGCAGCGTCAATGTCCTTCAAGGCTTCGGCCTTTCGCTTGTCCGTGTTGCCGATGACGGCGACCCCCAGCATTGCATCCTTCAGATTCAGCTGGACCCCAAGGATGACGCACATTGCATCATAATCCAAGCTTTTGTCAACTGACAGGTCCCAACCCAAAATCTTGAAGAACATGGAGATGGCGAACTCGGTGTGCCGCGCGCGTGCCGTACCACTGGTACTGAGATAATCATCGAAGTAATCTGTCCACGCTAGCTGTAGAGACTTCACTCCGACCCGCCACAGCGCAAACGCACACCTGATGAATCCCGACACGCTGGGCTTGGATCCAAACGGCAACACTTTTTGCTTGTATATCTCTCTGGCCTGGCTCTCCACGTTGTAAATGACAAAATGGCTGTCCATCTCAAAGGATAGGTCAGAAAGCGGGAGTTGTTTATAAGCAGCCCTTAGGTCCCAGGCCTTGCACATGGGAGCGCCCTCGGCTTTACGCCCAGCACAGAACCACTCGTTCAGCCATGCCCCCAGCATTCCAGCAACGACATCCACCGAGTGGACGGGAACGGATTCTACCTGCATAATGGTGGCGTTCACCTGCGAGGCCAAATAATCGTCTATCGGCCGCACCTTGGGGCCTCCTTCTGACTGCCCTTGGATCACGCCGAACCTGTGAGTTAAAGAAGCTCCGGCTGGGACTTCACTTGGAGGCACAGGCCCCAGCACGAACCCTCGACCAAGCTCCTTTTTCGTGGCTTCCAGCACTCCACGGTCGAGGGCCGAATCCACAGCTGGCCTGACCGTGGCCATTAAGCCATCTCTCAAACGCGTAGCTCCCTTCCGTAGCTGGGCCTCTGACTGCTCAGCTGGCTTGAACTTGCTGATGAACACATGTGACCTGGGGAGGACGCCTGTCAAATCAAACCCCGACACCATGTTGTCAACCAAGGAGGTGT